TACTTGGACGGATAGAGTGGCGGCTTCATAGAAACATTTCATCACTTGGATGTACCGCCAATCTACTTGGCAACGCTGCAGGGACTCCAGAACAAACCAGATCTCGATTTAGTCAAAGGCCTTCTCATAGTCCACGAATGCCAGACACAGGGCTGATTACAGTCTTCGGTCTTCTGTATAATCTGCCGCACTATGTGGATGTGGTCTATGGTGCCACATCCGCTCCGAAACCCTGCTTGCTCCGGTGGTTGGAATTCGTCGAGTCTTCGCGCAAGACGGTTCGTGATGACTCTCGAAAACAGCTTGTAGACGTGGCTTAGAAGAGATATGGGTCGATAGTTCTTAAACATGGTTTTGTCACCCTTGTTGAAGAACAAGACGACCACACTCCTACTCCACGACTCCGGAGTTCTTCCTTCAAACAGGACAGCGCTGAAGAGCTTTTGGAGCTCATTCAATAAGGGTTTACCTCCAGCCTTAGACTCCTGCCACCGGTCTTGTCCGTTAAGGATTATGGCTGGGCCGGACGGGGTTTGCACCAGACCGGGTCCCTCCGCCCCAAGGTTTTTTAAAGAGGTTGCCTTCCTCGTAGCCCTCAAAGAGCCGTCGTTCCTAACTACTGCCAGTCTGACTTACGACTTGGCCGGACGGTGGTCTGCATCAAACTAATGTCCACTACCTGGACCAAGCCAGCGGTAAAGAACCCGTCCGCTCCTCAACTTGCTCTCCACTGTGCCCTCTGCTAAACAGACGAACACGCGGAAAGCCTCCGAACAACCCTCGGGAAGGTCATTCCCACCTCGGCCGGAGGTGCCCCTTGGCGGCAGTGCCTCTCCCACCCAGGAGAGAGGCACTGCCGTCTTGGTTTGGACAACGAACGACGGCAGTGCCTCTCTCCTGGGTCAGTGTGCACCACATGGAGGTTCCAGACCCCGCACCTCTGTAATTAACGCCTGGTTTCGACCACGATTCCTTAAGATCTGAACATTTGTCGGTAGTAGCTTAGTTTCCTATAGAGAAGAAAGCTGTTCTTATAGCTGTTAACCAGGACGCACCCCTGACTGTAAGCCAAGCATTATGGATGGCTACACAAGGATTTTCTACGAATTAAAAAGAAAAGAGAAAGCAAAATCTAGATTTATTCTTTGAATTGTAGTTACAATAATCGTTGTTTTACTTGTAATATGTGATGGTATATCTAAGAAATTAAGATCAATACCGTACGTTACAACGGTTCAATACCTCCGGGACATTCTTAATTAAAGATTGTTAATGCAGATAAGTACAATAATTTTATGTGCCTCTGAGCATTAAATCGACTTATGTAGATGTGAATGACAGCCTTAGAAAACCGATTAGATGTTTTATTTGTTTTTTTTTTACTAGATAGCATATAGTCGTAACTGAGCTTTTGATTTAGCTTTATCGTGATTAGATCTATCTGTGGTCTAAAGATAATCGGACTTTTTGCGAAGAGCCAATTAATTAATATTGAAGAAATTTTTAGAAGCTATTGTTAATGTTGTTACGTCTGATACTAGCTTACAAGTTAGAGTAATCTATACTAATATTATAAAGCTGGAGAGTTTGTTTGTTTGTTTGTTTGTTTGAACGCGCTAATCTCAGGAACTACTGGTCCGGTTTGAAAAATTCTTTCAGTGTTAGATAACCCATTTATCGAGGAAGGCTATAGGCTATATATCATCACGCTAAGACCAATAGGAGCGGAGCACCAATGAGGAATGTTTCAAAAACGGAGAAAATTTATTACTATTGAGAGACGCAGACGAAGTTGCGCGGGTCAGCTAGTATAATATAAAGCTTTATACTGTTTTTATTTTTTCATTTATGTAATAGGGTGCCACCACAGGTCATCTGATGGCAATCGAAGGACCAACTCTTTCCCCTCAGAAATTGTCCCCCATTCCATAAAAAAACACACACACTCTGATTGGGCTATTTACCACTAATATGGTAGGACGAATTTGAATAATTTTTGGCAAACCCATATTATTGTCATATTATTCTCATTAGGCATGTATTTGTATGACAACGAGATCAAAAGGTGTAGGGACCAACCGCAGTTCTACAAAGCTGTGAACATGTTCGCGTGATAGGGTAATCTAGGCATAAAATATTATTCTAATGAAGCCAGGTGTATTTTCATTGGCGGGTTTAGTATATGTAGCTATACAACCAAAGAGCAGCGGTATACTAAGGTTTCAAAGGTTAGTTGTTAGTACCGAGTAATTAATGGGACATATGAAATAAAATGGCGTGTTTATTTTTAACATACTCGTACTTAAAAAGGAGGTTTTTACTTGAAATGAACATATATTTGTTTTGTGTATGTTTGCCATTTGGGAATCGATTTTAATATTTTTTTATTTGAATGATAACGCTTTAGATTAAAACACATTGCACTACATTTAGAATACAGAATAATCAATTTTTAAAAGTGATAAAATATGGTTAAAGCGTTAAAAAGTTGGACAACAGTCTGTCTACAGAACTTTGATATCGCCTAAACCCTAAAACCTAGTACTTGGGTCGTGGAGTTCTGGTGGCAGACACTCCAAGTAAAAATCGAAGTTCAGCCGTGTAATAGTAGTACACTGAAAGGTAACCCAAATTAGTTTGGGAAAAGCTTTGAGGATGATGATGATGATGATGAGTACCTAGCTGGTAGACTGCTTCTGATATAAAAGCTGACCAAGTAACAAAAAACATATAACATGAATTGCACCCCAACTCATGATACTCAATACCAGTTTTCAAGCAAAAATAAAAAGCCCCGTGCCCTTTCATTCCGCGTTATTATACCAATAACATAACAAAATAAAAACAAAGCATTTTTAGTTCCCTAATGCCGGAACGAGTTGAACGAGACAACAACAAAGTAACGTTATTAATCGCTCATCACGGAGGTCGCATTCACAGCAGGGTTAAAAAAACATAAACAGCGGTTTCACCTGCGCGCACTGATTGGCAGGTGCGGCGCGAGCGCATCTGCGCTCCCCGCCCTTCACCCGGGGGAGCGGGCCGGGGACACAACCCTTGCACATGTCGATGTAAAAATATATTTACGTGTTCTGTTTATACATTTTTATACTTTTTGTTTACTTCGTTTAATGTTTGCTCACTAATGCGGTTATTTGATCTCGCAGGTTTTTAGACCGCTTCGCCCCGTGAGCTTTGTTTGATTTTAATAAATATATATAGGAAACAGGAAATCAGCAGTAGGTATTTCTTTGTTGTTTTAGTAACGTTAAAAAAGAATGAGCGGGTACAGTTTAAAATCAAAGCTATTGATTTCCATTAAGCCAATTACGAGTAAAGGTATTTGAGAATTGACAGGAGCAGAAGTCAGTGGGAATAAGTTCGTCAGAAAACTACTTGGCTGTTCTAAGACAGAAATCCTATGTAGAAAAATATGTAAGAAACTACAAGGATTTTCGGCATTTTTCGACGAGTTACTTGTCACAGTGCTAATAAGTGCAATTAAATGGAGAATGCTCTGAAGAAGGAAGACAGTACAGATGTTCAGTGTACAATGCTCTGTCATTGAGAAATGTTTCCGTTCATCCGGAATGGTTAATTTTTTCGAATGTCTGTTTTCGTTTTTGTTGGTATATCTTAATTATGATATAATGGTAGCGTAAGTTGAATAAGAAGGCTCCTCGTCGATAATCTTGTTCGCTTTAAAAAAAGGGTACAAAATGAATGTAACTTAAATAAATAAAAAATACATTTATACATACATTTATAATGTTGGTTAATAAACAATATCTTTCGAAATTTGCCAATACCAACATAACTTATTACAGTAAGCTTGACACTAAGGAATCTTTAACTAAAGTGTTTAAAACGCTCCTAATAAATTTCCTTTTTTCCATGTCCAAAATAACTTATAAGTGATGACATCTAACCAAGATGCCTAACTAATTAATCACAAAGGGTTGCACACGACTGCATAACACAAGCGTTTTTTACAAACTAGTTGACCTGGCATGTAATAACAGTTTACGTCGACTCCTGCGCATACCATTTTAGATATAGATCAATTAAACATTGTTGTACATCTGTAGGTGCTATGAACATTCTAATGTGTAAATATAGCATGCCTCTAGAGTGCAGCTGACGGTTAAGAAGCAATAAAAGATGAATTTTAAGTACTAGGAATAATGCTCATTTAGTGTTTTGTTTGATTAAGTTATTAAGGTTGTTGTTGTCTTTACTTTGCCCGAATTAGTTTCGGTTTTTTCAGAAAGTTTTCTACAAGAACAATAATCTAGTTTAGTGGTTTGTGGTCTAGGATATCTGCTAAAACAATAAATTAACAACCAAATCAGCAAGGGGAAAGGTGAGTCGTTCATTTATTAAGTGGAGGTTGTACGAAGTATAGGTATATGAACTATTATGTAGAAATCAGTAATAATAATGAGCTTTATTAATTAAGGGATAAAGTTTGAATCTATATAGTTAAGTTGGTTTGTGTATGCTTTAAAAACTCAAAAAGTTCTGTGCGGATTGATCTCAAACTTTGAGACAATATACAACACGGTTTTTATTTAGTTTTCGCGTCACTTTGTTCCTCATTTCCCATCAATTCAACCACAATGTGCCACAGCGAAGCGTAGCAGGGTCCAGCTGGTTATAATATAATTTAACTTCTAGGTATTAACAAGTAAAGAGACATGTATAGGTACTTAACAAAAACGTATTACGTTAATAAGCCAAGTAAATTCACTAGAGTAAAATGTATTTCTGAGTATGTAAGGTGGTTGTATTTTTTCATTTACATATAATTGTGACGGTCTGTTCGGTTCTTGCCCCTTTCTGCCTTTGTCCCTAAATGTAACGCCCAGAGTATTTCGTATTTTGGAATAAAAGTAGGACTTTTCCAAAAAGGGGGCAAATTTCTACGAATTACTCTGGGCGTTACATTTAGGGACAAAGGCAGAAAGGGGGCAAAAACCGAACAGACCATTGTGACGTACCTGTTCACATTTCAGCCACAATATAATGGTTGCTCCAGGCTTCCGCAGCTCACCTTCGCTCATCTTCTGTTCCGCGAGGATTTCGCTGTGACACCGTCCTGTCTTCAGCCATACTTCAATAGACCTGTAGAACAAGATACGTTAGGTTGAGTTTTTGGATTCAATTTGATTGTTCCTGACAAAGTTATGCTTCAGCACAAAAGGGGCACGCTTAACCGGAGTGATACACCTTACAGAAGCTTACAAATTATTCGTTGAGTTTCCCCGAGTGAGTCCAGGTGGCAGGTTTTCTGAAGCTTTGATGAAATCTGGACCAGTCGCAATCGCACTGTGAATGTGGCCCTCCAATGCAAACCATGCCACATTTGCTTTCTTGTCCACTGTGCCCCTCGAGCTGCACTGTAGAAGAGTTGTGGAGAGCAACGGACAATGCCGTGGCTGTGGCGGACAAAATTTAGGGTTGTTCATACGTTGATACGAGTGACTGAATTTACTGAAGTCTCAAAGGTTAGGAGTGCGGGGGGGGGGGGGGGGGGGGGGGGGGGGGGGGGGCTTTAGTCGCAGGTGTCTATAGGCCGTGGCTTAGTGACTTATCATTAGGTATACCAAAAATAATCATAAAGCGATTACTACATACAACCTAAAGGTAAAATTTGTACAATCCTACAGAATCGTAAATTGCAGTTTAACAAAGCAATGTGTAAGAATTGTTATTCTGATACCTTGTCACGGCCTTAAAAAACGTTTAGAAAGTCACCCGTGCAGATGTATAATGGAAAAATGATGATTATGATGCCAAACCAAATTGTCGTCTACAAAGTGTCAAAAAACTTGAGAAAAATTCTCATGTACTCACAATAAGGGAGCTGCAGTTACAATATTAAGCTACCTAACAATTTCGTGTCATCAGACTAGAAGAGAAAAAAAAGATGAATATTATAGTGACACCACATCCTGCAAGAGATTTCATACTCTGAGCTTGTTTAAAGCGCATTTGTCGCAGTCGAGCGACTTGCCCGATACTAGCGAGTGAATGGGGCGATTAGTCATCGTGAACTAATTGAAATCAATAAGGACAAAAACAGGCTCTTAAAGGGGCAGGTTCTTTTCGTGTGATTGATGACTTCGGTCTGTGCGTAATTGTTTTAATGTTTTATTTTGTGACAGTTTCTTACTGTTTATTTTTCGTTCTGTTACTGCAAAGTGAGAATTTGCGGTATTAGTCCGAGTTTTTATTTTAATCTATATTAATATTATCTGTCTGACTGCCTATCTGTCTGTCTGTTACCTCTTCACGCTTAAACCGCTGAATTGATTTAGAAAAAAATTGGTATAGAGTTAGTTTGAGTCCCGGGAAAACACATAGGATAGTTTTTATCCCAGGAATCATTCTTTAAGGGGGTGAAAAGGGGGGTGGAAATTTGTATGGGGAATCTATAACCGCAGAACCGATTTAGATGAAATTTGGTATGGAGATGGTTTGATTCTTGAATAAGGACATGGACTACTTTTCACTGCGATAACAGACATATACGTAGGCGGAGTCGCGGGCAAATGCTCGTCTATAATATTTATGTATTTAGAAATATATAAGCAATGTGTGATCCACAAATTGTTGTTCTGAGTCTTTGTGTCTTTTGTGTCTATTTCATGTTTGTTTGTAAAGTCCCCCGCGACACAGGATATATTCCTAATGCGGGAGTCATCTATTTAAAAAAAAATGTTTATTTAGAAATATATGAGCCTGCATGAAGGTAATAGGCTTGCCTCCTGTGACGTAAGTGGGGCTAAAATTATAGTAGTCAAAATGTAGCTCTCTACCCCTTTGGGGATAAAAGACGTGAGCGCATGCATGTGTGTATATTCTCTCTCTCGTATCTGTATGTTGCTATGCAAATAAAAAATTAGAAAAAATATTTCGGTATAAATTAAACCACCATAAACTTACCCGAGACGTTTACCACAGTTTAAAAATAGAATCTTATCTTTTTAATTATATTTAGAATTACTTTAGCTATACATACTCACATGTATAATTGCGGTATTATTTTCTAAAAATATACTTAGACTTGATTTATGTTCTTTCAACACTTTATAAAAATATTATGTGCACAACAAATCTAGGACGTATAAATATGCTAATATTAATGGGAAATAAATTACCTCCTCATTATGCATACTTTAATTTATTTCTCACGTTTTAAAAACTGTTAATCATTACTAATAGCTACGCGATAAACCTTTATTAGCTTACATAAATTCTATTAAATAAATGTAAACGTTACGTTCTAGAGTATATACGATTTTTTTTTTATAAAACGCCACCTAAAGACTTTGATATCTAGCGTGAGTGAAAAAAATGGAACCCTTATTCCTATAAAGTCCCTGTCTAAAGGCTATTAGATGATAATGGCTGTTAGATGTATTTTTTTATTAGAATATCTATACCGTAAAAATAGATAAAAATTGTCCAATTCTCCCTTCACCTCAAAAAATACTGAGCCCATGATCGTGGAAGAAGTACAGAAATTTATTTACACGTAGATTACAAGAATATCTATTACAAGCCTTACTCGTGTAATAAACTGGGTAAATATCTCAATATGTATGTCTAAATGTATGTAGACTGAAGGGATACTCCTGAACTACAATATAAATTCCGTTTTTAAAGTACCCACCGCGCCAGCTAGATATATAAAAATAATTGATAATTCACCCATTGGAACCTCCACTCAAGATCAACTCACATTTACATGATTTTTCTTGATTTCTTGATGGATTTTATGTTTCTTTATGACGCGGTATAACAGTCGCAGATTCATGAAATCGATATTAGATTCCTTCGTAAAGATGTAATTATTTAGTATATCGAGCGTATTGCATATCGAGCCGAAATATGGACCGAAAATTATTTCAATAACACTAACATATTGTCTACTATACTTGTACAAAATAAAATTTACATAATTCATTACATGAGCAAGCACATTCAAACGCAGCATCGAAAAATTTCCGTACACAGACTCTTGGTCTCAACATAAAGACATTAAGTTCGGCCTTCTATCGTTATAATGGCCACTTAAAAACTCATAAAAGTGAATTCCGAGTCTTGCCACTGGAGCAGGCATCGATCTAAGAAGATCACGCTCTTAGATACTGTGATGGTCTTTAAAACTGACTCTTGGAGGAAGAAAGACACCGCCAGCTTTATGGCGCTCGAAGCTTATCGCTGTGTTTTGTGGAGCAATAAATGTTCTAGAGAGCTTTGCTACCCAAACTTCGACAAAAAACAGCTTTACTGTTGATTTTTTAAAGAGTCCGATAAAGTTGTAGTAAATAAAAAAAAAGAATAGTTAATGACCGAATTTAATGTCAATAGTTTAAATTTATTATCTGTGTTATGCTTTAGATGGTAAAAATAATTTAAACTACCTCATTTTGATAAAGTTTATGTCTTTTTAAGAACAAAAGTAAAAGCGTGAACTACGTTACTAGTATTATTTATTAAAAAGAAAAAAGTATGTAGGAGTTCGGCAATTCAGGCATGAGTATAAAAAGTTTTATACCTACTCCATGGAATAAATTAAATATTGATTGTAATAATTTACCTTCTTAATTGAGAAGTCTGTAATAACTTTAATTTAGAAGATTTAAATAAATTAAATTAAAACCACCTATCTATTACATTACTACCTATTACAAAAAACTAAAAGTTATGGATTTCTAGTCATGTCAATCCGTTTATTCATTCATATTTTGACATATGTATCTGTACCTAAACTTTGAAATTATTCGCAATGTTATTGTAACTGGTTTTAGTTAGCGGCCTTGCTTGTGTCAAACTTATAATTGTAATGAAGGGTATTTTCTTTCTTTTCTGTATCCCTGCTACCGTGAATGCAAACTTCCATATTTTTTGGTACAGCAGTTAAGGTATAAAAGCGCAACAAACCAACAGACAAACTCACGTTCGTATTTATAGAACACTTACTTTCGGCGAGCGGAAGAGTTCTCTTAAAAAAAATTGTCTACCCCTAGGTAGAGTACATTATTCTCGATGAAAAATACTTTATACGCAAAGTCTTATCATGATCTATTCAGTGCTGAAAGCGCATTTATGATATTACTAGCTGACCCGCGCAACTTCGTCTGCGTCTCAATAGTAATACATTTTCTCCGTTTTTTAAACATTCTTCATTGGTGCTCCGCTCCTATTGGTCTTAGCGTGATGATATATAGCCTATAACCTTCCTCGATAAATGGGCTATCTAACCCTGAAAGAATTTTTTAAATCGGACCAGTAGTTCATGAGATTAGCGCGTTCAAACAAACAAACAAACAAACAAACTCTTCAGCTTTATAATATTAGTATAGATTAATCCGTAAGTCGGATGGTCCGTGTGGTGACGGATTAAGAATACGGAATGTCACCACCCCCATTCATCCCGTGGGTGTCGTAAGAGACGACTAAGGGACTAAACTACGCAGGACAACAGAATTGCAAAGAGAAGGAAAACTTGACACAAACCCTATACCGACCCTTCTGGCCAGCGTGGTGTAGTAGGCCTAAACCTCCTTTCTAAGGTGAGGCCTATTAAAGTGTGACTAATTAGATAAGAGTAGTGGACTATTAAAGGCTGTAGATGAAGTCGGATGAACTTAAGCACGTTTTAGTATTTGTGTATTCTTACACCTGTTTATAATCATCTGCCTATACATCCCAAGTTTCATCAGCAGATATCGCTATAGCGATAACTTAGGTCATTGTGCTCCTAAATATACCTACTTTTTTTCTGATACTATAAATATTATATCGTCTAGTGTATTCGTAGTTGTAAGACGGTAAAAACTCGCATTAATTACGTCAGCGCACCACTGGACCTGGTGTAAGAAGTTATTAGGCACCAAGATCAGCCTAGCATATACAGATCAGCCTTTTTATTGAACTTTTTTGTTAAATAACAGACATAACTCTACAATATGTTTAGGCTTATATCGGTTGTGTGCTTCGGTTTCCGCATTTAGACTCAAGAGTGGTCCTTTATGCGTCGAGGACTGGTTAGCTAGGTGAGCCAACCAAGCTCCTTCCAGAGGCGCAGAAGCCTCCTGCTGCGGCTTCTAGGAGCGATTTTGTATCGTTAAGCTTAAATCACGGAAAGGATAGACTGAGGCGTTTTAATCGTTCTCAATTTATTTGTCTTGACAAATAATTGTCAGGTTGTAATTCATTTATAATATGTAGGTGTGTAATATATGTGATCTATACAAACAAATAAAATTGAAGTGTCTGTTTGTAATGTCAAAATAATAGTTTTTTTTCATGCTAGCACGGTTATTTGCACGACACATATGCCTAAAAACCAGTTGAAATATTTTTTGCCTGCCTGTCTGTTTCTTCCATGTATTCCTTAAAACGGCTGGACCGATTTTGATAACATTTTACTACCAGTAGCTGTCTATATAAGGAGTAACTTAGGCTATTATTCCTTTCAGGAAAACCCTATAAAATTTTGCCCGGTCCGGGAATAGAACCCGAGGCCTCATGGACTGCAGTGAAAAATTGACAAATGTAGTAATCTACGTAGCATCGAACAACCAGTATTCCTTCCCTCCCCCGATACATAAAAAAAATTGGCCCAGGGGCAATTGGCGGCAAAGTCAAAATTTTGCTTAAAATCGAATTAAAAATGAGACAACTGAATTCCAGTATGGATAACGATTGATATATTTCCTTCTCCTTCGTAATACCATGAAGATCAAACAGTCAAAAGTTTGGTTTTATACTGACGACACGGTTTAAAAGTTCTGCGTACAACTAAGAAGGTAAAGCTGTGCTAGGAGAAAGTTCTAAATACGCTATTGATGGGGATTTGGATCGATTCTTGCTACAAACCCCTGTTCTTATCTCTCTAAAGCCTTAAAGTTTTCTTTCAAATCCCAGCTTTGGAGACGCTTGGAATTTACCTTATATTTTTTTAAACTACAAATACTTACTTAAAAGTTTTTAAAGATTTCGTAAAAAACTGTAGCTCATTTATTTGGTATTAAAATAAATTATAATGAAAATTAAAAACTGATGTTGCCACACCTATAATATTCTTGAATAAAAAGGTGTTACAAGAAAAAAAAATGATTACGTTTTATTTACACACGCACAAAATCTTACATACATCTATAATTTGATTTGGGAACTACGTAGCCACGTTGACTCGTGGCTTCAAATCAATAATCGACTAAGAGGTTGCAACAAAAACTAAGTGCTTAATAGACGAGTGTCCAGTCGCAGACATGATAAAAAAAACATAAGCAACAGGTGTTGGGGCATCGACCTCGCTTATATTAAATGGCGGTAAAAATTTTGATGTTAAGTAAGAAGATGCGGTCGTTGAGTCTGAACTAACCGTTTTTTGGGCGCTCATTGAGTTTTTAGACGAAATGATTCGTTAAAAAATTGTATAATAACATAATAATTTGATGAGTGTTTGTTTATTGTGATGGTCCAAGACATCATGATTATTTAGTTCGAGGTTCATTTTGAGATCTTAGAACTAACCTTTCTACTGACTTTATTTTGTATTTGAGAAGAACGTTTTTTCTGCTATGGTATTATCTTACGGAAACTAACGATGATATGCGCATGTAAGGTAGAACTTTCTAAACCGAAAATGGTGGACTCGGGAGACTAGGGATCGCCACTGTCGTTTAGCCAATCATAACCTACAAAATTCGCAAAATTGACATCTCTACGTATATAATTGAAAGCAAAAACTGACTGCACGGATAGCGTAGTGGTTTAAACGGTCACCTCGCCGCTTCCTACTACGCCAAGAGTTTTGGGTTCAAACCCCACATGGGACGACACTTTGTGTGATCCACAAATTGTTGTTCTGAGTCCGGGTGTTCTTTGTGTCCGTTTCATGTACGTTTGTAAAGTCCCCCGCCACACTGGAATGTATTCCTAATGGGGCCGTTATCTTCTCCTAAAGAGTCAAGAGAAAAATATGTCCAAAAACCAACATGTATTTATCATTAAATAAGTATTAACTTACATTATATATACAATTTTGGTATTATTTCAATTCATAATCTGTCTGTCCTTCTTGGTATGCTCCTCTTATGAGTATGAAAATAACATTCTTGACTAAAAACTGCCACTAATTTAAGTAACATA